ATATATATATATATATATATATATATATATATATATATTATTTTTATTATTAAAATTATTTATGAAATAGGTAGATGAGAGAAAAATGGAATATAGGGGAAGTTGGGAGAATAAGGGGAAGATTGATTTCATATTTTATTAATATTTATCAAATAATTAAATATATTTAATTTAATTGAGTTAATATCTCTAGGTAGTGGAGCAGCCCCCTAATGATTAATTAATTAATTTAATATATATTTTTTATATATTAATGTTTCTCCATATATATTCCTAGTATTGTTCTTCATGATTAAAGTTTTGACCCTTATCAAATACTCCATTATTATCTTTTTTGTGACATGATATTTTTAACATAAGCTTTTTGTTAGTATTATAAATTTATTTCCATTTTTTATGTCGATCTGCACTTTTCTTAACACTGTTCTTCCAACACCGATACTAATAATTAATTTCGAGTCTGAATAACTTTCACCGATTCATTTTTGTCTTCTCTCGACAATTTTGAGCGTTAGGAAAAACCCAGAACCTTATAGCGGTCTACATCGGGACATTTTTGCACATACAACAATTTTTTAAGGGATGCATTTCGTTTAAATGGGTGACCTGTTTTCTTTGAATGCGACCGAAAGAGACAATTCACGAGCAATTAACGGTTAATCATTAAGAGCGTTTTTAATGACTTCACCACCAAATCTAATGAAATATGTGCGAAGGTCCACTTAGGTTAAAATGTACCAATTTAAGTACCAAAAATGCCAAATTGTTACAAGACAACGTTGCTTCACTTTTGTACTACGACAACCTACTCAATTCTATAATGTAACCTTTTTCTTTAGAGTTCAACAACACGTGAAAGTATAAATTCGAATTTGTACTGTAATGTTAAACCGTGGATCTGTGAAACATTTAGGGATGTTCATATGACTCAATAACTCCATGAACTCCATACTACCGAACCCAACCCATAAAAGTTGGATTGAGTTAGATTTTTTTTTATTGGGTCAGATTTAATTTCTTGTTTTAAACTGAAAAATTCAAGTCAATTAACTAAAGAAATAGGGATCCCAACCCAAACCAATCTTACTCTGTTCTAAGATTATTTTAAAAATTAAGAATATTTAAAATTTGGGACAGAGGTTAATTATTCCCTATTTGATATTTAAATTTTATGAAATTTTAGTTATTAATTTAATATATATCGTAGATAAATATATTTGTTAAGAATAATATTTGGTTGATTATAATTTTATTTATTAAATTATATTCGGGTTCACTAAATTAAATATAATATTTAATAACAAAATATATAAATAGATATGACTTTTTCACGCCGAATAAAATTTTTAATTAATTTGAAGTAAAATAAATAATTTATGTTATTATATGGTATTTCCAAGAAAGTGAGATTTTTTTCTTAGATTAAAAAAAGGAAAGTTGAATTGCAAACGAAAGAGGACAAATGTGAAACCGACCAAAGCCGAGTGGGAATTAAATGCAATGATTGACTTGCTTCAACACGTTACATAATTTTTTTTAAATAATAATAATAAAAAAAAACTCCAAATTATTAAAAATTTAAACAAATGTCAATAAAATATACAATATATCAAAATTATTTCTCGACTCCAACTATACCGCTACGTTCAGTTTTCTCTTTTGGACTTTTCCTTAAAGTTTTAAACCGCGTATGCTAGGGAAAAGTATTTCTCAAGTTCAAACACACAACTACATCGAGTTTTCTCTTTTGGGTTTTCTCTCAAAGTTGTAAAACGCCTCCGTTAGGAAAAAGTATTTCTCGAGTCCAAGCACACAGCTACGTCGGGTTTTCTCTTTTGGGTTTCCCCTCGAAGTTTTAAAACGCGTCCGTTAGAGAAAAGTATTTCTCGAGTCTAAGCACACAGCTACGTCGAGTTTTCTCTTTTGGGCTTCCCCTCAAAATTTTAAAATGCGTAGAGAAAAAGTTTCTACACCATTATAAGGAATATTTTGCCCCCTCTTCAATTAACATGAGGCCCAACGTCCTCGCTAGCACATAGCCCGGTGACTGATTTTGATACCATTTGTAACAGCTAAAGCTCACCACTAGTAGATATTATGTCTTTTGAGCTTCCCCTCTAGGTTTTAAAATAGGTCTAACAAGGAGAAGAAATGTTTTGTTTCTCTTCTCAATGTGAGATCTCACAAGCTACGTAATAGATTGAGCATACAAGCGTGAGTTTTATGGGTAACATATATGCAAATGCTGAACAAATGCATTTTTACCGTGTTGGGTTTGGGATGATGCGATCTTTAAACGTCAAACAAGGGGTTAGGTTTGGGAACAATTGATTATGAGCATTGTAGTAAGTCGATGGTTAGGATTGAGAATGACAAGGGTTGCATTTTGTTGTGGGTTAAATGCAACCGTGACCCAAAGAGAGATACATAAATGAACGGAAGGAAATTACGAAACTAAGCTCTAGAATGTAATTTTGACTTTTAATTTATTTTTGAATATTTAAATAAGTGGTGTGGGAATTAAATAGCTTAAATATAATTAGCCTAGTAACACGAGCCAGCGAATTAGAAGGAAATTACGAAGCACGAGGTTTTATTTTTTATTTTATTTTATTTATTTGTTTTTAATCAACGCAATCTTTTGTTTTTATTATACAATATCAATTTATAGAATTAATGTAATTTAAAAGAAATAATTTTTGTTTTATTTTATATGTCATTAAGAAATATATATATATATATATATATTGAGAGTTTTTATTTATTTATTGTCCATTTCGTAAAAATAAAAAATATAAATTATAATGATGTCCATTTGGTAAAATCAAATTTATATTTATATTTTTATATTTTTATAGAAATGAAATATTAAATATTTGTTTGGTAATGCCATATATTTTTTTTTATTGTTTTCTATTTTAAAGTTAAAAATTATACCATATTTGGTAATTATTTATGGTTTTTAGTTCCCCTTTTATTGCATAGTCAAATAAATAATTATTATTTTTTATAATATTTATAAAATCCACCTTTTATCTAATGTTTCTAGAAAATATAAATAAATGTAAACTTCAATTTTTTAAAGGTAAAATTACCATTTTGCCCCTAAAGTTTGAACACTTTTTTATATATATATATATTTATCAATTAGAAATTCCAATATAATTCTTAACGGTGTTGATTTTTCATTTATTCATTGAACGACACTTCATTATACGTGACGGAGATCCACGTTTTAAACAACGAAAGATTCGATATTTAAAAATTTGATCCTTGTGCAAAAATTCAAAGTAGTTGCAGACGAAATCAATTATTAATTTCCAATCATGGAATCATGGGGCAACTCGAGGCCGAGGAAAAATTCATTGGCTCTTTGTGCTCAATTATTGTGACTATTTCAAGAACATTTATATACGAATTTTCTCCTTTCCTCTATTCATATTCAAAAAAGAATAAAAAGAAAAAAAAAATCATTAATGTGAGACACGAACATCGGAGTGTTTCTTGTGACTAAACAAACAATAATCAACTTGGTTCAAACATAACCGTCGTATAGGTTTGTAGGTTCAAATCCTGCGACATCCTGTTGGAGAAGGGAACAAAACATTACTTATAAGAGTGTGAAATCCTCTCTCTAGTAGACGCGTTTTAAAACCATGAAACTAGCGATGATAGGTAACGGGTCAGTCAAAGTGGATAGTATTTGTTAGCGGTGTTAAAACCATGAGACTAACGATGATAGGTAAAACTAAAGTGGACCGTATTTATTAGCAGTGAGTTTGAACTGTTATAGCCATAAACTCGCTTTGGCTCCTTATGGAGTACAGCTCACATCCAGCCATATAATTAGGAAATGGGGCAGTGTCTTGAAGCTTCGATAAAAATAGAAAGTTTGTCAAGTTGTATGCCGATGGATATAGAATTCTT